CCCCCTATTATTATGTTATCCTTCTTTTACTCTTTAAAATAAACAAAACAAAACAAAACAAACAAACAAAAAAGACAGCTTCTAGACTCGGCTCTCTCCCTATCCTGCCTTTCTGTTATGGTGCTTATGCTTTGGTTATATGTGCTCTAATTTCTCAGAAAAATTGTTTGTTCTTGTGTAGAGGCTGCCAGGCTCCAAGTGATCACGTAGACAAATCCAATGGCAAATGCACTAGACTATGGGGCTCCACCAGATTGACCATATAGAATTTCACACACTACATTGAGCCCTTAAATAACTATACTCAATAGGCCTTAAACATGACCTTGGCAGAGCAGACATCTAGGAGGTTGGAAGTTATATTTCCTTTATATTATTTTAGAGATTCTGGTATTGCCCCTGTGACACTATTCTATGGAGAGGTCATTTGGAATGACACTAATTTTACATGCCAAGAATGCACTCTTACTTACTGCATAAGTAGGGGTTCTCCCGCAAAATATACTGTTTTTATTCTGGGTAGAATGCCTGTAGTGTGGCTACCTGTGAATCCCGAAGAACCTTGGCCAGATACATCTACTTTCCATCTAATGTACTCCTTATTAGAGCAACTAGGGCCAGGATATAGCTCAGTGACATAAGCACCTGCCTGGCAAGCGCAAGGTCCTGAGTTCAATTCCCGGTACCAACCCCCCCCCAAAAAAAAACCACTACAGCAACTAATACATCAGGGAATGGCCTCATTGTTACAGGAATAGCATCTTTGGTTTACTCATTTCTAGTGTCATGGTGGTCTCAGTTGGTTTAACTCAATTCCTTCAAACTGTTCATTTTGTGGACAACTGGACATATACTGCCAATGGGGGTCAGGGTGTTCAACATTTCATTGACGCAAAATTAAAATCTCAAGTTAGCATATTGGAGACTAGAGTATGGGGGATCGAACTGAGAGCTTACAGGGTTATGATGTGATTGTAATATAACACGGTTTCACAGGCCAGGGATATAGCTCAGTGGCACAAGCACCTGCCTGGCAAGCAGAAGGTCCTGAGTTCTATTCCCAGTACCAAAAAAAAAAAAGGTAATATAGCACGTGTTTGTATAACACTACTACAGTATATTGCATCAATTCATCTGTGGGAAATGTGTTGTTGTTGTTTTGGTCTTTTGGAGACAGAGTCTTGCTGTGCAGTTCAGGCTGGCCTTGAGCTCACTTTGTAACCCAGGCTGGTCTGGATTGCCCAACAATCCTCCTGCCTCAGCCTCCAGAAGCCTGGTATTACAGGCGTGCATTACCACACCAGGCATGGACATAGTTAAAAAACATCTACAGAGCCCTATGTGTAGAGATATAAATTTTGATCTGGATCAATTACAAAAGATGTACTTCCATGTCACAACAGATTCAAGAACCCAATAATTAGGCACAGGAATGGGACCAATATGCCAATGTGCTAGATCAACTCAGTATGTGGGCATAAATGAGAGCTCATGTTGGAATGTATATTGGATTACTGTTTTTTTTTTTTTTAAATCAGTCTGTCTGCTTGTATTATTTATAGTCTGCCACCTCCGAGGAAAGACCAAACAATGCTTGAGATATGCAGCCTCATTAGACCCTGACTCAGCTAATACAATTACAAAACCAAGGGGGCTGGGGATTTAGCTCAGTGGCACAGTGCCTGCCTGGCAAGCGCAAGGTCGTGAGTTCGATTCCCGGTACCGGAAAAAAACAAAAAAAAACAAACGAACAAAAAAAGCCGGGCGTGGTGGCGCAAGCCTGTAATCCCAGCACTTGGGAGGCTGAGGCAGGAGGATCCTTGTGAGTTTGAGACCAGCCTGAGCCACAAAGTGAACTCAAGGCCAGCCTGAACTGCATAGTGAGACCCTATCTCAAAAAGGAAAAAAAAAAAAAAAAAACAAAAAAACAAAACAAAACCAAGAAAGGGGACATGTAGGAGACCCTATTATGTGATCAGCGAGACCGAGGCCGTGTTGACGCTTCTCAGGACAGGAGCGGGTGGAAGGCTGCCCTTCCCGTGTTCATGGGCAGGAAAGCTGCCGCCCACGATACCCCAGGCAGAACAGCATCAGCCTAGGGCTAAACAAGGAAAATTGTGTATCGGTGAGGTTATGATTCTTCGCGAATTATTTTCACTTTCTTGAACCTTGGATTGCATGATTGCTACACTGCTTTATTTTACTGATAAAAAGCGGACTTTCAAGACTGTCAGCGCTCTTGTTTTCTTGAGATGGGAGTCCCCTGGTCTCCCTTGCTCGGAAATATGTCTTTTTTTCTTTTATTCCTTGTTATATCCCCTAGGTCAGTTTGCAGGCTGGCTCCCGCACGAACAGACTCATCAGCCGCGCACCCCGGGGACCCCGCCTGGGCCCGGCCTCCTGCGCTGGCCGCGTCCTCGCAGCATCGTCCTCCCTGCCCGGCCGCGGTGCCCGCCTGGCAGAGCTAGCGGCACGGCCGCCTCCCCAGCCCGAGGGGAACCGGAGTGCACCGCGGAACCCAGAGCCTGAGCCCCGAGACGCCCCGGAAGGCGGGAGCGCACGCACATCGCCCTGGAAGTTGTTGGTGACGCTGACCCGGAAGCGCTCTCGGCCGCAGCGCGGCGCGTGCACCTCGCCATGGTCTTCCTTACGACCCGGCTCTGGCTGCGGAACCGCGTCACCGACCGCTACTTTCGGATCCAGGAGGTGCTGAAGCATGCGCGGGTGAGTGAGCGCGCCGCGGGCCGGGGGCGCGCGGGCCAGGGGCGTCTGCCGCGGCGCCTTCACCCGCGGTTTCCCGTCTCTCGACCCAGCACTTCCGGGGGAGGAAGAACCGCTGCTACCGGCTGGCCGTCAGGGCGGTCACCAGGGCCTTCGTGAAGTGCACCCGCGCCCGCAAGCTGAGGAAGCGGAGCCTGCGGACCGTAAGCGCGCGCGCCCCTCCCCGGACCCCGGCGCCCGGCAGTGTGCCGGTGCACGAGCCCCGGTCTCTCGGTAGCGTTTCCTAGCGCCCGCGGCAAGAGCGGGCAGGCAGGCCCGGGGGGCAGGCAGGCCTGGCCGGCAGCAGGCCCGGCCCCCGCGTGCCCGACGCAGGCCTCCGAGGGGCATTCGCCGGTGCCCAGCTTGCCTGCGGCCGAGGCGCTGCCCCCCGCCGGCCCTGAGCGTGCGGAAGTGCTGGCGCCGTGCCCCCTCCCCGGGTTCTCAGAATCCACGCACGCTCGTAATTCCAGCTACTCAGGAGGCTGAGGCTGGAGAGTCACCACCGGCTCGAGGCCAGGGAGGGCCGCACGGTGAGTCCTAGAGTAACCTGAGCTACACAGTGACATCTTGCCTCAAAACAGCCAGAACGAAAAGGGCACAAGTTTCAGGGAAGTGTGTAAGTCTCTGTTTGCTGCAGAGGAAAACCCTAATTTCTTCACTGACTGACAAATAGTTCAGTTTAGGCGGGATGGTTGGAAGGTCAGTGTAGACATAACTTCCAGGGTGCGGGTAATGCATCTCAGTGTTTCCTCATTCCAGCTTTGGATTAATCGCATCACAGCTGCCTCCCAGGAACACGGTCTGAAGTACTCGTCGTTTATTACCAATTTAATCAAGGTATGACTGAGGCCCTGTAGAGGAGCTCATCTGCAGGAGCTGTTCTCTGAGGCGTGAGCCAACCTGACAGGGTCTGCATGGCACAGCCAGGGCACTGCTTTGTGTTCCTGGATGCAGCCCTGGCAGCGTGGGGGCTCACACTTCCCTCTTCCTTGCCCTGCTGGCAGCAGAGCTTGGTAGAAATAGGGCTTTTTGTACTGTGATGTTAGGCCCAGTGTTTCCATGTTAAGGGAGAGATGTAGAAGACTTTGGCTTTAACTGTACAGTTTTAACAGTGGAAGTTTTTTGATGATGTAACAGATGAAACTCAAACATATAATCAGAGGAAGGGGAGGTGTCTTGGAAGGAAGGAACGAATTAAAAAAGTGTGAAATCCTGGGCATTCTTTCAATATGCTAATCCCCTCTGTTCAAAAAAAAATTTGTGTTTTTCCTTTAAAAAGCCCAAGGGAGGCCAGGCATTGTGGTGCATGCCTGTAATCCCAGCACTCAGGAGGCTGAGGCAGGAGGATCATTGTGAGTTTGAGGCCAGCCTGGGCTACAAAGTGAGCTCAAGGCCAGGCTGAACTGCATAGGGAGACCTTGTCTCTAAATAAGTAAATAAATAAATGAAAAAGATACTCTCAGTCTACCTTATAGCCCTCCTGTGTAATGCATTACAAAAATCCTCAGGGTAAGTATGTATGTGTGTATGGGTGTGTATGTGGGAGATAGAGACAGAATCAGTGTTTTCCTGTCCAGGATCTAAGGCTTAGAAGGCAGATGGACACTGCACGAGGCACACAGGTTAGGTCCAGGGTAGGTCCAGTAGGTGCTTGGTAGCTGTGTTTAATGTGGAGACTGCTCATCCTCCTTCTGCTTCTGAGGCTCACTGCCTGTGCATTAGCTTTCTGAAATCACCTGGAGTTTTCTCAGTGCTGGGGCTCAAACTCAGAGCCTTTGCACAACACCTGTACTACTAAGTTAGACCCCTGGCCTGCAGTCTCACTATCAAATGAGCCTGATCTAGGACACTGTGGGAATTTTCAAGTTCACTAATAGGCCTAGCCCAGGGGCTCTGGTGTCCAGGTGATGGCCACTGTGATGGCCACTGACCCTAAACAAGATCCTTTATTCCATGGGTGCGCTCTGGAGCCTGAACTCGCCTCCCTTCCCATGTCACGCAGACTCCACAGGTGCCTCCCTTGTCCTTCTTCATGTTTGTCCTGTAGTGCTCTGCTATGCTTCCCAGGCAGGATTCCCCTGCTCTCTCTCCTGAGCTATTACATGGACAGGCTGTGGCCTGGAGCCAGCTGGTGCCAGAGTGCTGGTGCTAGAGGGCGACTCACCGCCATAGGTCTCTGAGCCACACTGTTACCACAGGCTGGTCCATCTTGGGGTCTTGTGATGTGCTGCCCAAGTACTTGCTGATGCTGACTAAAGGCTCTGGTTCTTTCTCTTGTTAGTGCCAGGTGGAGCTCAACAGGAAAGTACTCGCGGACCTGGCCATCTACGAACCAAAGACTTTTAAATCTTTGGCTGCTTTGGCCCAACGGAGGCGACAGGAAGGATTTGCAGCTGCCTTGGGGGACGGAAAGGAGCCTGAAGGCGTGTTTTCCAGGGTGGTGCAGTATCACTGAAGGTTGCTGTGCTGTGGATCAGGAAGGTGCTTCTTCCTGATGATCATAATGACCAAGATAGGAGCAGTGTGCTATCTACTCAACAGCTCATTAACCTGAATTGTGACTTTATTTACACTTCAGTATCAGGCCCAAGAGAAAAGGCTCTGTCCTCTCCAGTGGACACAGTGTCAGAACTGTCTTACATTGACTGTGCATATAAAGCTTTTGCAGTGTTTGATTTGTGAGTTGTTTTTTCTTGGATCAAGGAAAAACACATTGGGGTGTAACCTGCCTCTTAGGTGCCTTTATGCCCAGTGGGAGAGGCTGCTGGGACAGGAGTCCCAGCTATCAGATGCAACTGTGTGCTACTTCTGCAAACTGACAACCAAAATCTGGCTCGCCCACCTGACCAGCTCCCTGATCCATTCCAAGTCCCCCTACCTTCTTCTGTGGCCCTCTTTAGCCACTGCACACCAGCCTTTTTCCCTGTTCTCTTCCCACACGCCCCTGGCCAGTAGGGATCAGAGGGAGATGGCCCCATAGCCAGGACTGGTGCTGCTGGTTCCAGTCCCCGGGACTTTACCAGATGGGGCTCCTGAACTAACAACGTGCTGCTCCATTAAGTCCAGAAATACGTCCCTGATGAGCTCACCAGCAGGAATCACTTTATAGTAGCTCTGCCAGCCCTGTGACATGCAGACCTGTCCATGCCCACTGTTCCTTGGGCAGTGGATAATGAATCCCCTCATCTGCTTACAGCTGGGCCTACTCCTTTGTCTTCTCAGGGACCTGCTCCCATCAGAGCCTTGGACATCTCTGTTTTGAGTCCCTCATCGCCATGTCCCTGCCCCTCTCCTCCAGCTGTCTCCACTGCTGTCCCCATTGTTCAGTGTGCAGTGGGTCCCATTGTGCCCCAAGAGCTCTTATCATCCCTGGGACCCAAACTTCAGTACCCTAGGGATTTCACCCCTTGTCCCTGCTCCAGCAGCACCCTTCAGGGCCTAAAAGTTGCTGTCTGCTTGCTGATGACCCCATTTATTCAGGGAACACATACCTGCTTACCCTGCTGATCATGGAGGGCCACTGCTCCAGGGGAGCCCCAACAGCACTTGTCTCCAGTAGCAGTCACATTCCCTGTGGTCACACCTCCCTCATCTGATGCTGTCAAGTGCTGGGAGTCACTCGTGCTCCTCCATGGACTCCACACTCACCTCCACTCCCATAGAGAACTGGACAAGCCCTGGCCACCTACCACCTAGAAAGCTTCACTTTCTCCCCCTCATTGCCACCAGTGACAGACTCACTACTGCAGACGCCTTCGTGGCCCTTCCTCTTGGCTCCGTCACCAACCTAAGAATGCCCACTGCACCACTCACTTGGGAGGCCAGGGGCTGTCTTGGCCATGTCTCCTGTTGCATGAGTGCAGGTCCTGGCTGGGTTAAAAAGTGCTCAGGAAATGGCTACTGAATAGACAGGAGGCAGAGTCAGCCCTTCAGTGCTGTGTTTGAGCACCTTTTCCTCACTTCACATCAAAGGGAACAAACCGCTGTGGGTTGCACCAGCAGCCTTGCTCCAGCCCAGTTCCCCCGCACACCGGTGCATGCTCATGTGTCATGCATTGGGGCTGGCCTGACTGGCTGGTAACACCAAGCTCCCCCACAGCTGCATCTGGTCACGAGGTGAAATACGATGCTTGTGGGTTTCCAGAGGAAAGGAAATGCCTCCCTTCATGGCATGCACGACCAGCATGGGGGAGGGGAGCACCCTGACACTGCCAACTTTGGGTAGAAAGGACTGGTGAATTACAGCCATGTTGTCCATAGCAGGTACAAAGACTGGGTCCTAGTTGGCAGTGCTGCAGCTGTGGGATCAGATCAGGTCTGGCTGAGTCAAGCTCCACTGACTATCTCGGGGTTTTGTTTTAATTTTTTTTTGTTTGTTTTGAGACAGTCTCCTTAAGATAGCCCAGGCTGACCCTGAATTCACTATGGAGCCCGGGCTGACCTCAAACACGGGGATCTGCTGCTTTCGCCTTCCGAGTGCCGGGAATACAGGCATGTGCCACCGTGCCCGGCCTATTGTTTTAATTTTGAGACGGTCTCGCTAAATTGTCCAAGCTGGGCTCAAACTTTTTTGAGAAGAGTCTTGCTATGCGCCCCTGGCTAGCTTCGAACTCGTGGCAATCCTGCCTCAGCCTCTCACCGTACCGGGACTGTGAAATGAATTGGGCAGTTACAAGCAGCTGAGTCTGACCTGTCCCACCTGGCATATCTGCCCTCCATCTCCTCGTAACCTACCCTAGCAGCATCTCGCACAAAGCCACCCTCCTGCGGAGTCCCACAGCGACAGATGACGAATACATCTGCTGCTCCTGCAAGGCGGTGAAGGCTGTACCGCGGACGCGGTCGCCTGAGGTGGTCCAGATGGGGAGGGGGGTCCGACAGTGCGGTGCGTGGGGTATGTCCCCGCCCTTTCCCCAAGGTGTGGGCTTCGCGCCCCTCTCCCCCGCTCCGTCCTCGGGCCTCCACGTTCCGCTAGACGCTGCGCAGGGCCATCGAGCTTGACGTTTCCTGACGCCCATCATTCGGGCCCCCCCCCCCCCGAGAGCGAAGCTCGCTAACAGCGAAGCGAGAGCCTGTGTAGGTCTGGGCTCACAGCTGCATCGTGAGCCTTCAGCCAGCAGGGCTGAGGACTGACCACCCCGTGCTGATTCGCATCTACTCGGGCCAGGCACAGCCCTAGTTCCGCGAGCGACCTTTCGGGACCCCCCAGGCTTCCGAGGGGCTGGCCCCGGGACGCCAGCCTCAGCGCGCTCTGAGTCGCCAGGAGTAGGCACACTTCCGGGTCAGGCCCTGCCGCAGAGACCCCTGGGTAACAGGCTGGGCCCTCCCGCGCCGGAATCTGGCGACGGCGCCTGACGCCGCTCTGGCGGGCACGTCGCCTGGCCAATAGCAATGAGACATCGGTCGGCTCCAGCCAATGGGACGGGTTGGGGGGCTGTGAACATTGCGAGGAGCCGCCCTGCCGAGAAAGGGCCCGAAAGGCGTCGGCGGCACAAAATGGCGACGTCGGCGGCGGCGGCGGCGGCTGGAGCTCCCGGGTCGGCAGTCCCCACGGCGGCGGCCGGCGCCCCCGGCTCGGGGGGCGCCACTCCCGGGTCGCAGGGGGTGCTCATCGGGGACAAGCTGTATTCAGGAGTGCTCATCACCCTGGAGAACTGCCTGCTGCCCGACGACAAGCTGCGCTTCACACCGTCCATGTCGAGCGGCCTGGACACCGACACCGAGACGGGCCTTCGCGTGGTGGGCTGCGAACTCATCCAGGCGGCCGGCATCTTGCTGCGCCTGCCGCAGGTGAGGAAGGCCACGAGCCTGCGGGAACCGCCCCCGACCCACCTTGCCCGCGCCCGGAGCGGGGCCTGACTCTGCCCGCGTCCGACCCTGACCCCGACCCGGCCCCCTGCCTGCCCCCGGCCACACGCGGAGCCCTGAAGGCCCCGAGACGCAGAGTCCTTGGGGAACGTGGGAAACGTGTTCTTTTTCTTTTCTTTATCCTGGAGGAGCCTCAGGTTACTTGGTCTTGAGTGTGTGCTCAAAAGTGATGGAAACTTCTCGGTGTCTAGGTGGCCATGGCTACGGGGCAGGTGCTGTTCCAGCGCTTCTTTTACACCAAGTCCTTCGTGAAGCATTCCATGGAGGTAGGCCCCTCACTTCCTGCCGGGGGTGTGCTGGGAGGGGTCCTGGCCTGCTCTGCCTCCACCCGGTGCAGAGGCTTTTGCCTGTCCGCCTCCTCTTTGCTCCCAGATGTCCTTAAGCCTCAGGAAGTCCTCGGGCTGGGAACACATCTGGCGCAATGCTTACATTTCAGCATGTATCCATGGCTTGTGTGCACTTGGCCTCCAAAATAGAAGAAGCTCCAAGAAGAATTCGGGATGTCATCAATGTATTTCATCGCCTTCGACATCTGAGAGAGAAAAAGTAAGTTCCTGTTAGAGCTGTCGTAGTACCTGTCATTGTCTTTTTCTGTGACCAGGTTCAGAGCAGGAGGTTTCAACCTTGTAGATCTCAGTAGTATGTTCCTGTGTGCCCAGGGTGCCCCTAGATAGTACAGGAGCCTCACTCAACTGGGCAGTGGGCAGCTCCAGTCCTGGCATGGCCCTGCTTGCCCACTGCGATTTGGTTTCCTCCAGGGCTCAGAGCTCTGGTGTAGGGATTTTCAGTCTTGGCACTGTCAACATCTAGCCTGGGAATTTCTTTGTTGAAAGTGTCTTATGTAGTGCAGGACCTTGAGCATCCCTGGCCTCTACTTCCTCAGTTGTGACAGTCAGAAACTTCTCCAGTGCTACCTCTAAAAATGCAGTTTGGGGAGCAGGACCACAACTCAGTAGTAGTATGCTTGCCTAGTATGCATGAGGCTCTGGATTCTATCCCCAGTACTGCAAAAAAGAGAAGCAAGGAAGGCGAGAGCCCTACCTCTTTTAAATGCTGTTGGCTCTTTGTCGTAGCAGCTTGCACATCTCCAGGTTCAGTCAACCTCAGATTGACAAACGTTGGGAGGAAATACTGTGTGTGTAGAATGTACACAGATTTTGCTCCTTGGCATTATCTCCTGGGCAGTACAGTATAGTGACCACTTAAATGGTGTTCTGTGTTGCAAGTCTGCTAGAGATGATTTGAAGTTTGTGGGTGTTATCTGAATCCTACACTGTAAAAGACTTAAGTGTCTTTGAGTTTTGGTATTGGGGGTGACTTGTGGAGCCAGTTGTGGGACTCAGTGTCTCTCTGTGGTCCCTGGGAGAAAAGGGCAAGAGGATTTAGAAAATAAAGACAATAGTCAAGGTCAGGTGGAGTTACCTTGTATCTGAGGAGCAAGAGGACTGACTTCAACAGTAGGGGCCATTATTTTATACACTTGCAAAGTTAGTATCATGGGCGGTATTGTTGCCTAGCAACTAAAGACTGTAATTGTCCAGGCAGGATACTTTTTTCAAGACTGGGGTAGCTTGACTACCTGAGGCACTCTGGCTCTGTCTGCCCTCACACACATGACTGATACCCAGCGCCAGCGGCGACTCCCAACAGATGTGAAGAGTAGCGTTATGCTATCATGGTTCTCTAGTTTTCCGCTAAAGTGGAAGATTGATTTTTTTTTTTTTTTTTCTTTTTTTGTGTCTTTTTGAGACAGGCTCTCGTTATGCAGTTCAGGCGGACCTTGAGCTCATTTTGTAGCGTAGGCTGG